CACCACCCGGCCCAAATTTGGATCTTTTTAAAAACAGACATCTTGGACAGGTTAGTGGCTCAGCAGGCAAAAACTCACGCTGCATAAACTTGGTGACTTGAGTTTGATCTCCAGAACCCACATAAAGGAGTAAGGAGGGAACTGACTCCACAGTTATTCTATGACTTCCACATGTGTGATATGACACACATGTACACACACATATAAACACACACATACACAATAAATATTAATAATAAATGAAAAAAATAAAATAAAATAGGCATCTCTGGCCTCTGCTCTGTGAGATTCTAATTCAGTGAGTTAAGGGCAGGATCCAGGAATCCTAGTCAGTTTCTAACAAGTGCTCAGGCTGATTGTAAAGTACAACCATGTATAGAAATCACCGCTAGCAATAACAGTGAGGAGAGCAGGTCAGTTAGAATGGCAAAAACTTTAGTGCTGAACAGCTCCTCTGGTGGGAGCTGTGGGATAGTTGGTGTGGGGTTAAAAGATCAGAACCTAGATGCATCTTCCTGGGTTTGCTGTGTGTAGCACCAGTGCATCTCATTTTGTGGCTGCTGCTTCTCTGATCACATAGAGAGAAATATTTGCAGAAAACAAAATTTCCTTTTAATTCATGGAAGTCATTGAGTCTGTAAATGAATGGAATAATTTGCCTTCCCAGTAGCTGCTAAGGTATTTATAAAGAGAATTTGAAGATATAAAATTCTATTTTAATTTTTGTTTTTTCATTATACCACTAGAAATAGATTTGTGTTTTAAGAATTGTTTCTGGGGCTGGAGAGATGGCCCAGCGTTAATAGAACTGATTGCTCTTGCAGAGGAACCTGATTTGATTCCCAGCACCCACTTGGTGGCTAACAGCCATTCATAACTCCAGTTTCAGGGAATCTGACTCCCTCTTCTGACCTCCACGGGTATCACATGACTTACATATAAAATAAAAATAACAAAATATTTTTTAAAAAGAATTGTTTCTGCTGGGCATGGTAGCACACACCTTTAGTTCCAGTACTCTGGAGGCAGAGTGTTGCTCTAAATTTCCCCTTTTCCCTTCTTGGGAGGCTTGCGCCCTCTGAGGCTCCAGGGCTCATAGACTAACATTAGATATTTTTACTTTGGGTTTTGTGATGTATTATGACTTTGGGAGGGAGTGATTTACAAAGAAACAGCTTCTCAGGACCTGCGCATCATTCAAGCCCTGTCCGCCCTATCCATTAGCGTTCACATACTGTGCCCATGGTCCTAAGTGTCCTATCACGTGTCCATTCCCCAACGGACGCTGTAGTTGCCCCAGCGCCCCACCTCACTTTACACCCATCCAATCATGGCACCCTCTTCCCAGGGTGCTCCTCGTCTTGCCCCTGGCTGGTTTACACTTTTTTAAGAAATGAGTCATTTTGGGGCTACACAGAGATAAGCAGATCTTTGTGGGTTCAAGGCCAGCCTGGTCTACATAGTGAATTCCTGGTTAGCTGGGGCTTCAGAAAGATCTTGTCTCAAAAAACCAAAACAAGGTGTTGGAGAGATGACTCAGCAGTTAAGAGAAATAAAATAAAAATTAAAAGAACAAATCAAAAACGAACCAGAAAAAACATTGATTTTTTTTTTCTGTTCAATGCACTCTCTTCTAAGAGTGCAGTAAAGTCTTTAAATTAGTGTGTTGGATAAAAATTACAATTTTGGGGGGCTAGAGAGATGGCTCAGCAGTTAAAAGCACTGGCAGTGCTTGCAGAGGACCTGGGTTTGGTTCCCAGCACCCACATGGTAGCTAACAATCACCCATAACTCCAGTTCTAAGGGAATCCAATGCCCTCTTCTGACCTCCGAGGGCATGTTATGGGCGCACTAACACACATGCAGGCAATACACTCATATACATTAAAAAAATGAGAATTACAATTTTATGATCAAGATCATATTATCACATGATTATGATGAAATGGGGTAAAGATAAAAAACTACTGCACAAGTTATAAACATAAAGCAAGATTAGCTTGTTGCTGAGCAATGAATTTCTGAATTTGGCTTCTTTAAATTCTTTACTAGAATAAAGACAGGAGTAGGATTCTGTGGTAAATTTTGGACTAGTGGTCCTCTCAGAACTCCAGCTGTGTAGGGATAAATAGCCAGACAGTCAGATAAAAGTAAAATGAATATCCTTTTTTTGGTTGTCTTTGTTTTATATATATACTGTAGATTTTAGGCCCTTACCATATATATGGTTTACAAATATTTTCCCCATTTTGTTTGCTCATTATCTTTTCACTCTTCTAATAGTGTCCTTTGATGCTCAATGTTTAAAAAAATGAATATCTTTTAAAAATCCATTAGATGCATTATAAAGTTTTCTACATTCTATCTACTTGGTATAGACTCATTTATATAAAAAAAATCTTGAGGCTAGGGAGATGGCTGAGTCAATAAAATGCCTACTGTGCAAGCATAGCGAGCTGAGTCAGGATCCCCCCAAACCCACATAAAAATCTCTATGTTTCAGTACCAATCTATAATCCCAGTTCTGGAGGCAGAAGTAGGCAGATCCCTGAAGGTCATTGGCCAGTTAGCTTAGCCAAATTGATGAGCTCCTAGTTCAGAAAGAGACAGTGTCTCAAGCAATTAGGTGGAAAGTGATTCAAAAGACACCTTATGTGGACCTCTGGCCTCCATATGCATGCCCACACACCGATATGATTAAGTACTTGTCCACACACATATAGGAAAGCAAATAATCTTTATAGTATAGTAGTGAATCATGAACTAAGAGGGTCTGAAGTTGAGATCAAAGTTGATAGAATTTTCCTTTGGTATGGGATGATATTGTGAGTTCTAGGGCCTTTGATATAAGGCCTCTTGGCCCCATTTAGAGGGACAGTGAGCCTTTCTTTGACTGCCACAGGAAGTTTGCATCCTATTCTGAGCATGGAAAAAGGAACAAGTTGTATAAATGCAGCATAAATATTAACTGGAATGTTTCCTTGATAGTCAGTGGAAGTTCTTTTGTAAAATATTTTATTTAATATTCATATGTGCATATAATGTGTTCAGATCCAGTCCATCCCCCATTCTCTTCCCTCCAATTCCTTCTCTCTCTGCTCTACTGCTCCCTCCCAACATGTTCTCTCTCTCTCTCTCTTTCTCTCTCTCTCTCTCTCTCCCTCCAATGCTCCAATGCCCACTGAACCCATTTAGTTCTACCTGTATGTGCATGGGTATAGGACCATCTACTGGAGTATGGGTGGTCTCTCAGGGCTCACATCCCCGACAAAAACTCTCTCTCCTTCACCCAGGCAGCTAACAACTGCCAATTGCTCTTCAGATATTGGTGGTACTTCATGTGCCCCTCCCCCATCTATGCAGGGATTTTGCTTTGCTTGATCTTGCGCAAGTCTTGTGCATACAGTTCTAGGCATCGTGACTTCATGTGTACAATTAACCTGTCATGTCTGGCAAATGCTGTTTCACCACAGATTTCCACTCCCTCTGGTTCTTGCAATCTTTCCACCCCATCTTCCATGCTGATCACTGAACTTTGGGGAGAATACTGATACAGATGTCCCATTTATAGCTGAGCACTCCACAGTCTCCAATTCTTTGCGCGTTGACTGGTTTTTGGAATCTGTGTTAATTACCACCATCTACTGCAAAAAGAAGCTTCTCTGATGAAAAGTGAGTGATGCACCAATCTATGAGATAAAGGTGAGGACGTAGAGGGCAGTAGAAGTTCTAAGAGGCTCTGCATACTCTATATTACCCTGGTGTGGTTGAAATGCACGAATATTTTAGTGATAACAGAAAAAGCTGATGTAAAAAAGTTTTAATGCTGGTTGACTGAGTGAGCTCCTTAAATGCACAAACCATGTGAGTCATTCATTTTGAATCTCCAAATATACTGCACTGTCTGAATCAATGAATACATATACAATAACCATATGAACACTGAAGTCTGACCTTTGTTTGGACTTGGACATGAGCAGTCTCTGAGAGAAAGACTTCCCAAACAATTTCTGTCAATGACTACAAATTCACAGGTGCCACAAATCAAGATGTTTTTCATTTGGGATCTAGGATGGTGGCAAATTTGATTCATTCCTGTTGTTCTGTGCTAAGTTAGTTATTAAATGTGAGCTGGGAACAAACAGCCCCAAGCAACCTTGAACTATTTAATTTTGAACTTTTCTATTTCTTCTTTTACTGCTTCTGTTTCACTTCATCTAGATACCAACCACACACAAAATGTTGAAAGTGGAACTTTCCTTCCATTGATGTTCAAGATCTCATTTTGCTTAGAACTTTAATATTTAGAAAGAACATACAGCCTGTACTAACGATGATCTTGTTCCACTGATAGGCATCTACAGGTTGAACATGGAGGATCTTTCCTCTTCGTGTTGAGGAAATGCATCCTGTCACTCATTTTCTCCATAACCTCAGATAAGTCTTCATTGTTTTCATGACAATAAGCATTCTCATGGTACCGTGACATGATGTTCAGGGGGGGTGGTAGGGATCTAAAATATGTAAGTTTCATAATCACAAACTATGAGAAAGGGGAAATATGTGCTTAGCATAGGTACTTTTACTGTGAATTTCCTGACCTTGATTTGATTAAAATCTAAAGGCTGCAACGATTTAGATTTCTTTAAGGTTTAATTGTTCACTTTGAAAAAAACTTCAAAGTGATGTAAGAAGGGTAGCAGAGTGGAGGAAGTTAAGGACTGAGCTGCTCTGCTTTGCAGATCAGAGTGTTTGAAAGTGAACAGCAGATTTAACAAGAAGCAAAACCACAGCACGGTGTTTCTGTTCACTTGGCTTCACAAAAATCATTCAGGCTTTCCGTACTGTCCTCTCCCGCCAGCTCTCCTGTTCTTAGTTATTTCTCTGATGCTGCTGGGGTAAATCATCTGAAGTGCTGAAGAACTCAATGGAGAAAAAGAAACCTTTGGCTTGAGAGTTACTGCGTCTGACATGTACAGGGAATGAGGACACTGCCCGCCATGGTTAGAGCTCAAGGGTTGTTTTGGGAGCTCTTACTCCTCCATCTGGGCCTCAGGAACATCCTCGGTAAGACACTTAAGATTATTTCTGGTTTTCTTCCTCAGGGCTCATAGAAGTGATGTTTTCTCTCTGATCCTAATAGAGTGGGATGTTTATGTTCGGGGGTAACTGTAGTTCAAACAAAGTGGTATGGTTGCTCCCAGAAAATGTTGTAAGAGAAGCTGAATTAGAACATGATATTCACCTGTCTATGTAGCAGACATTGAATCCATAGCTTGACCAATTCTCCTAAAAACAAGACCTCATGATAAGCAAAGAGATTTGAACAGATATTATAAACACTCAAGAACAAATTTGTCACGACCGCTGTCAACATCTCTCTGACTGCCACATAAACGGGAAAGAAATCTCATGTTCTTTCCAAATAGATTCAGGCAGAATGGTTAGTGCTCTTTTGGCAGGACAGGTGTTAGAAAATTGGGATTCCAAATATTGCACGGTGACTCTCATATAATGTTCAATCCAAATAAAAGTCCTACTCTTTCTATGGGGTATCCTGTGTGAATGCTAAATGAGAACACATGCTGGGATAGGAGAGTGAGCTCTGCTTCTACTCCCTTTAAGAGGGTGATTCCTCCATGCTCATCAACCCAAGACAGAAAACAGCTCTAGATAGGTGGAGTTGGCCATCCCCACAAGGACTTTATGTCAACAGACTGTAATTCCTTCTTTATCTTGACATCTCTTGCTACTTTATAGTAATACCAAAACCATACACAGTAAAGGGAAAGACCTGGGAGTAGTTAGCAAAGGTTTCTTATTCCTTAATTCTCACCTTGTGTTTTTTTTTTTTTTAATCTCCCACAAATACACATTTATCTGTTCGAACATGTCTGTTTTTAGTTAGAAAATATAATCAGATCCTTTGGAATGTCATCTTTAATTCTAGAACTGTGTAGTTTAGGAGACCACACAACCAAGTACAAAGTAAAAGTCTCCTGGGTCATTCAAGCTCTTTATTATTTGCATATATTTCTGGTATATAGTAATGAATTTCATAAGGACATTTTCATGAAAGTACATAATGTACTGACTACCTGTCCTACACATCTAAGGATTTTTGTTTGTATTTCATGTTAAGTCAACTATGTGCTTAGATAGTTGGCTGAATTTTATATCTTGAGAAGCCTACAATCCGTCATATAGATATAATTGGAGTCAACAATTAAACAAAATCTATTTCACCTTAAAGAATCTATTATATAATAGCTTCTGTGAAATAAAGGAAAATATGTTTAGTTCTGAACACAGTTGAGGTGTGGTACAGCTTCCATTCTTCCTCCCAATGTGCTGTCACCCACCATTTATCAAAATAAACTTGGTTGTTTACTTGGGGTTCTTTAATGACTCTGCCACTTGCAATATGACCTCAGTTGTTTCTTTTTCTAAAAAATATTTTACTTATTATCTTTATTTTATGTGTATGAGTATATTGCCTGCATGTATGTAAGTGCACCCACGTCATACAGTGCCTCTGGAGGTCAGAAGAAGGTGTTGTAACTGGAGTTACAAATGGTTGTTAACAGCCATGTGGGTGTTGGGAATCGAACTTGGGTCCTCTGCAAGAGCAGCCAGTGCTCTTGACCACTGAGCCATCTCTCCAGCCCTAGAATTTTTTTTTTAAAAGAATGTAGTTGAGGGGCTGGAGAGATGGCTCAGTGTTTAAGAGCACTGGCTGCTTTTGCAAAGGACCTGGGTTCAGTTCCCAGAACCCACATGGCAGTTAACAACTGACTGTAACTCCAGTTCCAGGGGATCCAATGCCCTCTTTTCACTTCTGTGGGCATTACATGACACGGGTGTACTTACATACATGTAGGCAAAACAGTCACATACATAGAATAAAAGTAATAAAAAAAATAGTTGAGAAAGGAACATGGTGGCTGTTGGGAGTACAGCTCAGTGGCAGAACACTTGTCTAACATTCATGAAGCCTTGGGTTTTATCTACAGCACCCCACCACTCCCTCCCCCAAAGAGGAAGAAAGAAAAAGTAACTTTTGATAAAACTTATTCTCCCAGACAAAATTGATGACTCCATTCCTTAAAATGACACTAATTATAGCCTTTCTACCTTGAAGAATTCCTGCAACTTACAGTAACTACCGAATTCTTTAAAGTAGTATATTTTCAAAATATTTAAAGATGATTAAAAAAAAAATTCCCCCACCTCAAAGTAATGCAAAATACTCAGAAGGCATGCTTTCTATGTTTAAAAAAAATTAGAGGAAAACTTCTTCAATTTCAACAATCATTTCTCACCTGATAAAAAGAGTCAAAATATTAACACCCTCTCTTCGTGGTCAAATGATGCTGGCAATATTTAACTTCCGGTAGAGACTGTTCCATCAGCAAGACCCTGGAGCACTTACTCAGTTAAGAATGAACCTAGGGCTTCAACCTCAGGCAGGCAGCTAATGTGCAGATGTGTGATCTGGAATAAAGGTAGTAAGACATTTTTGATTCATCATTGGTGATTGTAATTAAAAAAATGCCATCTGGCTTAGTAAAGGGAAAACAACCATATTTCGGATCTTTTGAGAACACAGTGGTAGAGACATGTCTCCATCTGGGTTTGCTTGTGTTTTTTGTCTCCTTTAAATGTCACAGCCATTTAACAACTGTGCATTGCTCCAAGAAGTACTGGTCATAGTTTTGGGTCACAGCAACCATATTCTACATCTGTGTATTATTCCTTTACAGTGTACCTCATTGTCTTTTATCTGACTTAAATATTTATTTTTTATTTTTATTTATGTGTATGTGTCTGTGTGTGTTTGCCACATGTATGCAGGTGCCTGCAGAGGCCAGAAGAGGGCATCAGATCCTGTGGAGCTGCATTTATAGGCAGTTATGAGCTGCCTGATGTGGATACTAGGAACCAAACCTGGTACCTCTGGAAGACCAGCAAATGTTCCTAACCCCCAAGCTGTTTCTCCAGCTCTTAGTAGACTCATTTTAATGCCTTCAGTTATTCCTATTATAACATGCACGTAGAATGCTAAAAATAGAGCTGTGTCTTCTACCAAATTGCAAAACACTTTCTGTGTCATGCCATTTGTGCAAATGCCTAGGATGCATTCAGCAGCTTCAGGATTTCCTGGATTGAAGTCTCATGCTTCAATTAACAGATTAACTCCCTGTACTGATTACATCCTCGAATTGACTCACTCACATTGTGGAGCTCTTTAATTTCTTGTTACTTCCTTTACTCCACTATTAAAAAGTCCTCTATTATGTTGTTGAAGTTGAAAACTACTACCAAGCCTCGGTGGGACTTTCCTATTTAATTCCATTATCTGTAAGTTTTGCTGTTATTTAGAGTTCAACATTGTTGAGAGAAAAATGTTTAAAAGCATTTGTAATCAGATTTGATAAAATCAGCCTTTTGTTTGATTGATTGTTTAGAGAAGCTATGTGCTGTAGTGGTTAAGATTGGGCCTCTAAAGACAGCCTGGATTTGTAGCCTGTGTCTTTCATTACTGGATGTGTAACTATAACCTCTTTAGTTTTCAGTTCCTCATCTAAAAGGCAATAGTCATGTTGATTTCCTAGTGGTGTTATGTGTATCAAATGCTTTGATTCCCTAGGACATCACAACATTGCCTAGTACATTGTCAGTGCTGTATAAGTTTAGCTAACACTGTTTTGTTGTTTGCTTTTACTTTTCTTGTAGTTCAAAATTTAATTAGCTTAATTTTTCCCTTAAAGGGGTATTAGGAGACGGTCTTTCATTTGAGGCTGACAAAAGTCCTTTATAAGTAGTTTTCAATATTATCTATTATCATCTCCTGTCACCAAGGAATGATATTGATTATCATTTAATAGTTATTCAGTTTGACCTACTCTGTGTCTGTGAATTTTAGCATATCGAATTTGCTTCAATTTTCTGAAGTTCTCAATTCTCTTATCTTGAAATTAGCCTAGTAGTCTATACGCCTGTCTCATTAACTCTCATGCTTATGATTTATATGTGTTTCCTATGGAAGGAGTATCTTATATGCATGTGCCTGTGCATTTATGTGTAGGGATGTCATTTTTGTATTCTCAGAATCTGACTTGTATCATTTGAGATTCCTACTAGGGGAGTGTCTGATGGACCATCTAGGTCAGTCATAGCACAGCATCAGGTTTAGCAGGTAAATCTCTCTAACTTCCTTTTCCCTAATGGGCCTGTTCGTCTTACAAGCACGACCTAGAACTCACACATGTCTCAAACAGTCCGTGGTTGAGAAGTCATCCTCAGGGGAAGCCCACATTCAGATTTGATGGTCATGGCTCCTTTTGCTTACCTCTGTGATATTACGGGAAGAGAATGAATACTGGGGAACAGTTGGCAGATCTTGTCCACGTAGATACAGCTAAGACTATTTGGAACTTGAGAATGCTGGCGAAGCTCAATGCACCTCTGTAGCAAACTGTATTAGGGATGTGAGGCAATATCTAGGAGGGAAGTGGGATGGACTTTTCTGTACCTTTCTAACCACATCACTTAGCATACTCTTGTTCTGGGCATCACAAGTCAACACTGTTACTGACAGTAATATTTAGAAAAACTCATGTTGCTTTCTGTTTTTGTTTTTGTTTTTGTTTTTGAGACAAGGTCTCCCTGTAGCTTCAGCTGGCCTGGAACTCACTATGTAGACCAGGCTGGCCTCAGTCTCATAAAGATCTGCCTTCCTCTGTCTCCTAAGTGCTGGGATTAAGGGTGTGTGCCACCAGGCCTCACTTCCTGTTGGTTTCTGATAAAATGTGAGAGGAGTTCACCAATTCTATCAGCAGCTCTTAAGGCTGGGTTTTCTTACTGAAAGCTCTGTGCTCAAGGTGGAGGATCTAGATCTTTGGAGGACAAACCCTACTCCTATCAGGCAACCAGTGTTTCTCTGACCAGCCGTATTCTCTGAGTTATATCAGTATGAAATGAATTGTTGTCCCTTAGGAGTCATTAAATTATCCAGATAGTTCTCTTGCTAACTGGAGATAATTACATATTATCTGCCTAACTAA